AAAAAAAAAAAAAAAAAAACCAAATTATGCTAGTTTCTATGTTTGGGTTAAACTGTTAACTGGTACATAACACTGGGTCCAGTGTGCCCATCTTTTAAATTTCTACTGTAAATTTGTACTTTAGTGCAACAGTAGTTGGGCTCTGTGTCTTAGTATCTTTCCTGGAGAGACACAGTAAGTAATCTATGTGTTTACCCACTGGATGTGTGGGTATGTGGAGAAGTGGCAAAATGAGATTTTTTCCCACCTTATGCTCCATATAATTTTGTTTTGTATATACGCCTGAGAGTTATAGAGTGCCCAACAGATCACACAACTTCAGGATTTATTTTTTTTTTTAAAGTTTTCTTTTGATTTTTCTGGTAAAGTAGCCCAGCTCAGTACAATGGCACAAGAAAAACAAGATTTGCAAGTTTTGGAAGAGGTCAAAAGTGCATCATCAGATTACTCATGCAAGGATGATGAAGATGATCTCCATAAGAGATTAATGGTATGGGTGTATGATGATCATGATGATGATAGTGAAGACTCTCACAGTGGCCATGTGAGTCAAAATTCCTGTGACAGTGAAATGGAGCAAGAACTGACTGATACACATCTAGGGAAAGCAGACCTCTTAGATGGTCATCCTTCAAATGATGAAGAAAACAGCAATGTGTGTACACGGTTGACTAGTGAAATGTTGCAAATGGTCACCTAACTAAATGGAACGATCCAGTCAGTTTATAACTAGGTTTCAATATAGGGAGAGTCCTGGCAGGGGTGAAATGTACTGGGCAGACTGCCAGCACTGCCACTCGATGTTGGAAATTTTAACAGACAAAATGCTACAAGATGCTGTGAAACATTAAAATGCAAGTAAAACATTCTGTATGCACAAACAGCTACACTCAAAAATACATTTATTATGACATTTCATTAGCTGCACTGAAAGCATTTGTAGGTCTGCTGTGAAGTTAGCAGAGATTTCTCATAATGATCACTGGAATGTTAAAAACTTATTGAAATGCAATGGATCAAAATACAGCATATAAATTTATGCCTTTGTAATGTGAAGATTACTATGCTTTTAATTTAGATATTAAATGATGTTGTGAACAGACGTGTTGCTCACATCACTCAAGCTAATCAGAATGTGACATTTAACAATTGGTTTACTGCTTTCCAATTCTACATTTGCTGACAGAGCAGAACTGAACAGAGCAGGAAATATACATAGGAACAAAGTAGAAGTTCCTAATGAAATGTTGCAGTTTTGAAACCCAGAATTGCACAGTACAGTCTTTGAATTTCTGAAAGATACTGGCCTTTTATATGGCAAAGAAAACCCAACCGGTGCTGCTGATGTCAACCCTGCACATTTATAATGGAAATACTGATAGGGAAACCTTGACAAACTGGAAGCCTGAGATGGAAACTTTCTACAACAAAAGCAAAGGTGGAAAAGATGTTGTTGAAGAGTTAGGCAACTATAATATCACCTCAAACATAAAGCACTAGCTAATGGCTGTGTTTTACTTGACCCTAAATATGTGTGGCATAAATAGTTAATTTACAAAGAAAATTAAAAAATGTAAAATATAGAGAAATATCCTTAAAGGACTGAGACAGAAGTTCTGAAGAGATCAGTTACAGCAGAGGAAAAACAAAATGTTTCTGCCCAGGGAGAATGCAAAAAAAAAAAAAAAAAAAAATTGTGGAGTACACTGGCGAGCTGATGGGTGAATAGGGAGGCACAGCCTCACGAATACCTACTATGACAACAGGACAACCAAAAAGATGTCAACTGTGCCCTACAAGAAAGTGCAGGAAAACAAAATATACATGTTATCAGTGTAAGCGATATTTGTGAATGGAACATGCAGTCGTCACATGTGAAGACTGCCTCAGGTGTGACAGTTGAAACAGCTTATTTCGATGGCAGATTTTTGTTTGTGTTTACATTATGATTTACAAAGATTTCTATTTTGGCTGTTGTCTTTTAGATTTCATAAGAAAGTAAACAGTTAATTTGAAAATGTTGATTTTTATTCTAAAAGTACAATACATATTAAGAATTTAATATTTTATTCTATTCATATGTTATGTTGTAATATACACAGTGTATAATACAGTAAGAACCTCCTGATAAAACAGCAAGATCACTGAGATGTCAAGTATGGTCTACAAAAACACTAGGAAAACAAAACACATGTGCTGTCAGTGATACATGTATATGGAACATGCCGTTGTCATATGTACAGACTCCTTAGGTGTGACAATTGAAGTAAAGGTTACTTTTTTTTAAAGCGCCATTGGTATTTTCATTGTAACTCATATACAAATTTATGATGCTCTTTTTTATAAACTTTGTACACCAAAAAATGGCTGACATTGAAAATTTTAATGCTTGTTTATAAATATTCAATAAACATTAAAAATATACTTTATTTTTGTGATTTTTCCTGTTAAGTACTCATTGTTTAATATAACAAAAAATTAGAATAATTCATCAATAGAATTATTATAAAGAATAAATGTGGGCTTGAAAGACCCACATTTATGCACTTTGATGACAAAAATCAGTCTTCTGCCCCAAATAAAGTATGAATGGCTGGGCGTGGTGGCTCACGCCTGTAATCCCAGCACTCAGGAGGCTGAGGTGGGAGGATGGTTGTGAGTTCTAGACCAGCCTGGGCTACAAAGTGAGCTCAAGGCCAGCCTGAACTGCATACCGAGACCCTGTCTCAAAAAAAAGACAAAAAAAAAAAAAAAAGTATGAATGGCATTTTGCACCACTATAAGCAACATTCACAAAGAACAAGTGAAATTCAGGGATAAAGACCTTCAGTCTGCCATCCATACAATGTAGCTCTTTCACCAAGCCAGCTGTGGAGCTCCCCTAATCCTTATGTATTCCTTTATGAAGTCACTGCCTAACTACCTAACAAAAAACTGTGTTAGTAGATCAAGACAAAGAGAGGTGATAATTTCTGAACGTGCTGCATACTTTTCAACAAATATGAGATTGTATGACAGGGAACACAAGAGTTCAGAGTGCTGAAGGGTTCCCACAGGAGTACTTTCGCCAGCATCACACAGAAAACACTATCCTACAACAGAGGTCCTCCGAAGATCTAGGAATTTCCTTACAATGTCTCCTTGACATTATATGCTTTTCAGTAATGTATTTTATGCTAACTCTTATTATAGTAATCACTATTTTAGAGAGACAAATAAAAATGTCTTAAATTTAGCCAAAAAAATTTAACAGTCTAAAAATGGGCAATCTCCACTTGTTAAAAAAAAAATTGAGATATTAGCTTTTCCATATTTAAAATAAGCAAATCTTTGGGTTAAAAAACACACTAAAGAATTTCAACTGAAAAGAAAATTATGTATAAAACTGAGGAAATACAAATGTTCTGGAAGGTTAAAAATATCTATAACTGTGGAGTAACATAATTTTGAAAATTAAATTTAACATGTTTCCAGAAAAATAACTACAGAAACTGGCACCCAATAATACAGAAATCAAGAATGATATCAAAGAACTGCCCTTCCAATAATGTTCTCAGCCCCGACAAAGTCAAGCTCAAGCATTTCAAGTTATATATTCTACTTAAGACACAAAAAAATAGGAAGCTCTTTGATACATTTAATACAGAAAATATGACCTTGGGATTAAAAAACAATAAGAGAAATTAATTTAACAAATTTCATTATGTACCAAAGACTCTTTTAGGTAAAATTAACTCTAAAATTTCTAGGTAATTAAATTCTAACAATTATCTGGTAAAATGTATGTAAGAAAGGTCTTTTCTAATTTTTTATATTATATGACAACAAAAAATTCTCTAATGTTCTCTTAAAATTGAATACACTGTAACAAAGGGTTTTAGAAGTATTATGTCACAGTTCTACACACAAAGTGATTTAACTATTACCAACAGATTCACTAAAAAAATCCCACATAAATATACAGAAGTAATTGATTCTATTTAAATAAAAAGCCCTTTGCCCAAGAATAAACCACCTTATTTTAAAAATAACCAGAGGGGCTAACAGCCACCATGAATGTGACTAAACAGGGTTCAATTTACAACAGACAGGTAACACAGATGTTACTACGAAGCAGTTTTGAAAATTTAACCATATCTTGAACTTTATCAATAGAAAAAGAGTGAAGCTATTCCAGCTGCCCAACAAATTCTTTTAATTTAGTTAAATTTAAGGAATATGTAGCAAAGGTACTGAGGGAAATAGATGTAATAACTGTTTAAAAATGACCTAAATTAAAAAAATCAAATTTATGCTTTTTAATAGTAGTGTTTTTTGAGCCTTTAAAAAGACTTTGGAGAACATTATTTTGTGATAAAAAAGAGAAAAGAAAAAAGAAAATCTAATTTATGCCTAATTTATGCTTCTATGGTTTGACTGCACATTTTTTCTCTTATTTTTAAACTTTAAGAACCTTGGACAAAGTAATGTACTTTAAAGAATACCCACAACCACAAGAACACTTAGAAGGAGTAACATATTTTTATCTGTGGTGTGGGGGGAAGTTAGAAAATTCTCACTTAACTCAAAAGTGGTATGATTACAGATAAAAAGTCAATTTTTAGAAAACCATTTCCCTAGAGAAATTGAGTACTGACAAAAATACCATAAAAGTAAAATATAAAGAAGAAATTATTTTAAAGCTTGATAAACATAAAATTTAGCTATGTGTAATATAAATTGAACCCTGCTTTATTTTAAAATAAAGCAAATATTAAAATTAACAGAAGAATTCGTACTGCAAAGAATGTCAGAGAAAGAACTGTAAACCCAATTTAAATGATTTTAAGTAATTATTATCCCAGTAAGTTTAGAAAAGACATAGCCCAAGAGATCATTGTTTAGCAAAAGAATAAAAAATTAATACATACAAAATGCAATGCTTTGGATCATTTTCTGGTGTTCGGTTAGCATTGCATATAGCAAGGATTAGAATCAAAATAGAAATTTCTATTTCCTACCTATATCACTGGCTACCATCTTGGAAAACTTTCTGCCTTTGGTCTTCACTGAAAATAATATTTTGATATAAAATGTCAAAATCTATGCAAAATAAAGCAAATTAATTCAACATAAAGAAAATACTTTAAAATTAAGATACTATACCCTTTTCTATAAAATTATTCATTTTTTGTTCATCATCTGAATTGTGTGGAGATGAAGAACCTACACAATGAAGACAATGAAAGGAACAGACACAAGTCAGTCACAGACATGTACACAAAAAGTACAAATGAAAACTTTGGTAACCTCTAAGGCAAGTTCCCATGCTGCTGATCACATGGGGAGGATACTAATATGGCTAATACCAATTTTGGTAACATTATAGCACACTAATCCAGTAGTGAAGTATCTTTCATGATAGACTTTAATATAAATAAGTCTTAACTCTAACTTGGTAAACATCTTCATGTAAAAGCTACAGAATATATTAAAAATAACACTTTAAAGACATGTATCATTTATTCATTTTTCATAATCTCCCCAGCTTCAAATCACTTGCCCTCCATTTAATTCCCATAACACTATATTTATGTACTTCTCATGTTAATATCTTACATTTTAAAGATATCTTTAATATCTTATATTTTAAATTTACACACATATGACTTCTATGGAATTGAACAACTACAAAATAGGGCCAAAACCTGATTAAGTTTTGTGTATTATCAGTGGAATAGCTTTTAGGTAGGTGTCTATGGTAAATACTGGTTGAAAGAATGGAGTATGATCAAAAGTTTTCCTTGGTGTACTTAAAAACAATCCTAGTGAAATTATGAATCCTAATTAAAAATCAAAACTTGACACCCATGCATCCCTTCACTCAAATATCCCACTTTCTTACTTTGATCACAGTATTCTTGATATTCTCTGACCAAGTAAAATCTACCAACACTGGCAAAAGCAAATTTTTTTCTAAATTTTTTTGAGGCAGGGTCTCACTAAATAGTGGAGGCTGGTCTTGAACTTACAGCAATCCTCCTGCCTCAGCCTCTCAATACAGAGAAGGCTTGTGCCATCATGCCTGGCCTAATTACTTTTATAGTGATTTTTAAAGATTGTACTCTTAAAAATATGCTATTTTGGCCAACTAGTATTAACAAATCCTCATATATCCCTTATCAAAAAATAACATTTGCTGGGCATAGTCTTGCATGCTTATAATCCCAACCCATCAGGGCAGAGTTCAAGAATAATTCAGGAAGAGTACAAAATCAAGCTCAAACTGTGCAATTTGGTGAGATTCTGTCTTAAAGATAAATAGGGTTAGTGACAGCTCAGTCACACAGTGCCAAAAAAAAAAAAAAGAAAAGAAAATTCAAATAAGTAATATGTTGAGCTCAATAACATTTTCAGAAACAGAAAAATGTACAGTTGTTTGATATTTACATATAATTTTGTAAATGTTGTGTAACATTTATATATAATTCAAACTTAAAGAATATAATTGTCATGGTATGCTGCATTTATTTTAAGATGTCACTGTCATCTGATACCAGACATATATACAAATGTACAAAGAGGTATTAACACTAGTTGTGATATATCTCCATTAATATTAGCAAGATAACCTATATGATAACATAAAAATGATGTTTTTGAAATAATAACAGGTAATATAAGCTGTAAATAAAACAAACACATTTACTTTACTGTTAACTAAAAATGTTTACTACTGATTGTCACAACTTCTGTAACAAGAGCTTATAAAAAGCTTCCAGAATGATTTTTAGTATATTCTACTTGAAAAAATTTACCAAATCACTATAATTAAATAAATACAAGTGATATCTATAGTTATTGCTTTTACTAGGATACACAACAAATTGCCAAGGCACTATTTACATCACAGTATTGTAGCCTTACAATTGAAAATAACCAATTTTTTTTTATCATTTTAACATCATATATTTTTTCAAAAACTTTTCCATCATTATTAATGTACTCAATGAAACAATCTGAGTTCTTTAAAATAAAGACCAGAGACCACTACTTCATTTGTTCATGATGTATAAGTTTGCTGGGTAGAATTAATTTCTTTTTCATAGACACCACTGACATTAAAAAATGGATAAGGAGCTGGGGATTTAGCTCAGTGGCATAAGCGCCTCCCTTGCAAGCAGGCAGTCGTGAGTTTGATCCCCAGTACCGATAAAAAGGAAAAAGACAAAAAAAAAAAAAAAAAAGGATAAGAAAAACTATATTTATTACTCATATTTTCTCTTGTTTTTTGAAGCCATCTTTGATACTGATTAGCTAAACTCGAAATTACAAATCTTAATTATGGAATTTTAAAACTTTCAAAATATTTATCTCTTTTATGAATTTTCACTAGGCACACTAATCTGAACAAAAAGCATATGACTACTTTGGTCCTCCTCTTAGTGTTTATGATGGAATGATTTTGACTTCCAACTCACTTTTCTGCATTTCTACCTTCCTCATAAATACCAACTATACTGATTTTAAAATGTATAATGTATCACTTAGCTATTTAATCCATTTCTGGAAAATATTTGAAGCTAGTAACTTAATTACTAATTTTCAAGTTTTTAATAACATGATCCCTTTATTATGCTTAATCTTTTAATTAATCTTAAAATCATCTGATCTATTCTGTTCTAATCATCTCAGATTAGAGGAATTTGCATTCACATGTGTCATACATGTCATAATTTTCAATGATTATTTTGAGATCACAACTTTTACTTTGCACGTCAAACCCACTGAGATACAAACAATACAACAGTGTCATATGAATTTCTACAGGTTAAAATCATACCTCAGTCTTTTCACATGACCAAAAGCAAAGTATATTTTAAAATGTTGAACCAGGGGGATGGGGATTTAGCTCAGCGCCTGCCTTGCAAGCAGGCAATCATGAGTTCGATCCCCGGTACCGATAAAAAGGAAAAAGACAAAAAAAAAAGAAAAATGTTGACCCACATTTGAGTTCTTCTGGTTTGAAGAGGGGTGAATTTGAAGAATTTTTACCTACATGTACTTTGGTATTTATATGCCTGCATTTAAATATCCTTGTATATTTATTTATAGTTCCCATTTCTTTTGTCAGCCTAAATTGCTAGATGTACTCACCTTTTGGAAGTCTGTAATTATCTCTTATTTAGTTATTGTGAATTGCTAACTGTACCTACTTTCTGAAAGTTTAATGTGGGATAAAAAAGAGCATTTATTTGGGCTGAATCTTATTAAAACAATCTTGAAGGCCACGTATCCAGTTTGACTTTTATTCTTAACATACTAACAACTGCATTCAGGTGGGCTCTCGGAGGTGAGATCCGAACTGTACTGCAAGTATTTGGAGGAAGCCAATTAATAATGAAAAGATATTATTTCCAAACTTAGAAATAATCCTAGTCCTAAAAGATAGAAAACAACTACTCATTTCATATCGTTTAATCAAACTTTATTCTACCAAAGACTTACTACTAGGGGTCTGATATGACTCCTATGTATTTATTTGTTTTATTCATTTAGTGAGTAAGTTTACATGTGAAGTCTAAAGAATAAGAAAACATAATTCTAACTTTTAAAAAAGAAATGATCAGTTTGTGTTATATTGGTAAATGGAACTATAAAAAGAAAATACTACTTTTATAGTAGTAAAAGCTTTTATAGTATGAGATCTAATAAAATGGTAAACTGAAACCTGAGGATGCAAAGTAAAATACCCTTCACAGTATTTCCCACTCCTGTGATTATTTCCAGTAGAGAAAAACTAGCTATGGAAGGGTAAAAACCTATTTAAAAACTCTTACTTATATTAAGAATAATTTTTCTAGTAGAAAGCTGATGAAAATGTCTTAACCAAAACAATTTGCTGGGCATAGTCTTGCATGCTTATAATCCCAACCCATCAGGGCAGAGTCCAAGAATAATTCAGTACCTGCTCACTCCAAACAACAAGAAATACAGTAGTTACAACTATAAAATTAATTTTATTAAATAATTAGCAAACCTTCAGTCCACTAAAGAAAATGAATTTAAAATCTTTTTAACATTAAGGTTCTAAAAGAATTGGTCAACATATTTTTCTCTGTAATATTAATATGTATGTCACATATAGGCTCATGTACATAAGAACTGCTTAGTAAAGCAACAAAGGTATCAACAAAACATTAAAAGCAAAACTTTAGTCTGTATTTATTCTAATTGTCTATAGCTATTACTAGATTATAAGTACAAAAAATCTTTTATAATATTAATAAGTAGAGTTGGGAATACAACTCAGTGGTAGAGTGCTTGCCCAATATGCCACAGGCCCTGGGTTCTAACCACTGCCAGAAGGGAAAACAATCTCTCATAACATTTTATTGTCCAGTGACTACAAAAAAATAGATTATAACATCAACGTTTCTTTGATTCTACTCTATTCTACTAGATAATGCCAGGAGTGGTTAGAAGGGAAAAAAAAAAAAAAGACTATGATATGCAGCTAAAATATTTGATCTAGTTAAGAAGTAAAACATATTTTCTCTAAAAAAGCACATATTACAAAGTAAACACACGACTCTGATCAGATAAAAAGATATGTTCTTATATTTTTATCTAGCATAATCTTCATTTCTTTTCACTTAATCAGAATGCAAAGAATACAGTTATGAGGACAGCACTTCTTTGTTGGTATATTTCAATTTATTTACCTGTTAAAAAACTGATATACTGTCATCATTTATATAAGCTCATAATTAGTAATGAATTAAAAAATAATTACCAGAAGTTGGAGATTTGCAGCGATCCTCTGGGACTACACTCCCTTCACTAATATCACATAGACCTGCTAAAAAACAAAAATAATAAACAAGTCATACCACGAATTTACAAAACTACATATTACTTTCTTTTTTTATGTTTCATTACTGTCCATTTAAAAGAAGCCAGCAGATTAATAAACTACTGAAATTGAAATTGATACTATGCTCATTAGGTATGAGATAGGAACATTGTAGTATTAAAATATATCAGTATGCCAGTCATCAGTTAAATAAATAAGGACAGGTTAGAAACAGAATTTCCAAGTGAGATGATTTCTTTTTAAAGACATTAGACATAATGCAGGACTTTTTATTAAAAGTCAGAAATGTGAAGTATATGACATTTTTCAATTTCTCAAGGGAGAATAGGTTTTGTAGCTTTTGTATAATAAGTACCTTCAACTCAAACTTCAAACATTTTCCTTAAATATTTCTGAATGATAAATAAGAATGTACTTGTATCTCTAATTTTGCAATGTTTAAAATATTCCGCATTACTCATCTCTAACTATGTAGCATCATAGTTGTAAAAGACAAAATATTTTCTTTTCACATATATATATGAATTACATACGTAAAGCTGATCAATTTTATAGCATGGCCTAAATTCTTAGCAAAAATCATAGAAGGTATTTTATGGACAAGAACTAAAAGTTCTGGTAAAAAAAAGTACAAATATTCATTTGTTTGTTAATTGAAATGAACAAATTCCTTGCAAATTATTTAAAGCAAACAAGGGGTTGCATGTCTAAGCCTCAGAAGTCAGGTGTCTGAAGCACTTGTTTGGATGGTCAGTACCTGCTCACTCCATACTTTGATTAAAGACATGATATCCCAATTTTTAATGTCACTATGAAAACTTTTATGGCAACATTTCCAGAGAACACCAAGTACTAAATTAAATTTATAAAAAGTGTTAGTTTCTAGTTTTAACTACATATTATTTGTTTTTATTTCTAGAAAGTTCTTGAATGAGATTAAGTAGTTTTTCTAAATCTTCACCAAATTAATGGTTCTGAATAGAAAAAAAATTAAAATGCAAAGCATTGCATTTTGTACATGTACCAATTCCCTGCAATAAATGTAAATCATTATGTACTTCAAAATACAATAAAAGTTTTTTAAAAGCCCTAGTTTCTATAGCATTATGATGATTTAGTCTTTGATCAAATTTTTTTACATAAATGAATTCTTTCTTGATAGAATGCTAAGGTTGCAGGTTTCTAACTAGTGATAATAATATACTCTAGTATTACAATGTTCCAAGCACTCAATACTAAATACTTTGAAATTTTAACCCTTGAGAATTTTTGTCATCAATATAATAAATGTACTATAAACACTATAAAACAAAAAAATGTACCATATAATTACATAATTATTCTTAAAATAGCCTAAACAAAACATTTGGGAAGTTGAGTTAAAGAATGTAGATTGATTTAAATATGAAATGTATTATTATAATAAGCATTAAGTAAGTTAAAACCCCTTCACTATCTTGTCTCATTCAACCTAAGAATCAAAGTTCAATCCTACATGGTAGGTTCATAAGAATAACCCCGTGGAATATGATATCTTCTGTTCTCTAATAATTTTATTTCCTTTCCTCCTCCATTTCTGCTTTCCTCCATTTCTGTTCTCTCTATTCTAGCCACACTATATCGTCATTGTTCTCTGAATTCAGCAGATACACTACTTCAAAGTAACTTGTGCTTCGTATGTTTTCTGTTTCTTTTGCTTTCTTCAGATGTCCTCACAGGTAAAAGCTCTCTTACTTCCTTTAAATCTTTACTCTAACATCACCTGAATACTCTAACATTCCCATCAATGGCATTTCAAATCTCCCTGCCTTTAATTATTTTCCCCTGGCACTATTGTATAACTTACTATAAACTCATCATTTTAGTTGCCTGTTTCCCAATAGGATGTGAGTTCTGAAGGTTTTGTATTTTGTTTTATTTCTTATAACACATCCCACATAGGGGGTGCTCAATAAACATTTGTTGAATGAAGGACTGTATGTAAAATACTTTCACAGCATATACCATAATCCACTGTTACTGCCAGAATCTTTCCAACAAATATCCCTTGCAGTGTAGTTATCCAGGCTTTGTTCTAATATAACCTAACTCTACTAGGCAGCTGGTTACATCCAACATATACTGAATGCTTATTAGGTGCCAGATTCTTTTGTAAATTCTTAATTTATTTAATACTCATTAACAGCAAACACAAAACATATTACCCTCATTTTACAGAGGAGCTGAAGCACTGAGTCGTTTGTTAATTTATAGTTTGTGCAAAATGTCATGCCCGTGTCTTGTAGTCCGATTCACTATGAGAATAACAATATGCATTGTATTAATTATAGTTACTCTCCTATTAGTCTGTTTTGGAAGCCTGTTTTTATATTTTTATCTTTAAACTAATAAAAAAATACAGTGATAAAAACTTTAGGAAATAATTATTTCCAGAGAGCTTTTAAAAATAAATGAAATGAAGATAAACAATGAGAAGCAAAGATAAACAATGATCTTACAGACAAAAAACAAATACACCAAGACATAAATGACTTACTTAAAAAAGAAGAACGAAGTTTTTTCACAGACTCAGAATATAAGCTAGGAAAGCCGCACATGCAAGAAGTCACAATCAGCACACCTCAGTGAAGCAATGGAAAGGGAAGGCAGAAAATAAAGAGAAAAAAACTAGAATGGTATGGTTGGAACAGTAATCTCTACTGAAGACACACATGACAGAATGATCAGACTCACAAACAAAATGCAAAAACCTTCGAAAAGGAAAATTCAACCATTAAGCCAAATGATGATAAAGTCTATTGCTTAGTTTTTGTTTTGGGTCTTTAGGCTTTTCTCAAATGTTGTATGTTACTACATGTATGTTACTACAAATTAGTAGTGTTTACTACTACAAGTCATAGTGAGTTATTAGTAGCTAATACTAATATTACTAAGACTAATAACGCTAATTAGTAATAGAAGTTTTACTGGTGGTAGTAAAACTAACACTGAGGGCAACTGAAAAACTCCCCAGGCAGTTCTATTTCTGAGCCACAACCTAGAAGAGCTGACTCACCGAGTATAAAACAGTTTCTCAAAGGGTATTTCAGTGTGCACTACGTGGCTTGCAAATGAGGCAGACACACACCATGTAGAACTCCTCCCAAGTCCGGATCCAGCTGGGTGGGCCCTTGGGAAACTGAAGTCCACAGGCCAGTGTCTGCTCAGTCTCATTAGTCTACCTACCCTGCATCCCATGCACTGAATGCTATTTACGTGTGTGTGTCATGAAGTAAAAAGTGCAAGAGGTATTAAATAGACAGCCAAATGCACATGAGCTCTATAAGCATTAATGTTCAAATACTTAAAATTAGGACTGATTACCTAGAAAATATAAAAGAATGTTCTATACAGAGAATTCAAAATTAAACCAGGCCTGCACAGATTAAAACTGAAAATCTTAAGTTTTTATTGAATTTAAATCACTTTTTGCATTCTTTTTTTTTTTTTTTTTTTTTTTTTGGTGCTGGGACTCCAACTTGCAACCTCACGCTGGGCTGTGCCTCTGAGTGACATCCTTGGCCCTGCATTCACATTTTTTTCTGCATACAAATGATTCCTTTGAATTAAACAATTGGAATAATAAATTACTGGTTTATTAGAGACCAAACAATAAAAGAGGGTAAAACCTTTGAACTTAAACCTTTGTTCTATAATAAGGAGGCAAACATTCTTGCTATTACAATGCAGCTAAAGAAGTTTGACACTGTGGCTCTTTCTCAACATTTATAAAATCCTAGTATATTAAAATGAAAACTCAATAACAATACAAAACAAAAATAAGGCTAATGCTTTTGCTTGTTTTTGACTGTGACATATACTGTCTATTCCAGACAAACTCTCTACTATTAGACTTATATCTACAAAAGAATTAAGTCAGCATTCACAGAAATTTTAAAGCTAAGGAGTTTTTTCCTTTTTACCTCCAGAAGGTTGTCGAGATTTACGAGGAGATCGGGGTTCTCTTCGATAAGGGTCATTAGAGCCATATAATTCAATGGTGCCCAAGTTAAGCAGCACTGCTTTCTGGAAATAGTCTACCATGGCAATGCCATTACAGTTGCCAAAAACCACCCTGGAAAAGACAAAACATTGTAGCATAAATAAATAACTATAAGAAAATACAATGTCTATAAGGTTGAATAAAGAAGCACAATTGGTCTTTCAAAAATTTCCCCTTTGTAACAAAAGATAACAGATGGACATGGAAATACAGGTTATATATACCTTCTCTTGGAATTATTTATGACTAATACAATTTATAAAAAAATTCACACAGGAATTAAAATGATCAGAAATATAAGTCTCCAATACGAGGCAATATAACATCTATTTTTCTATCTTGAGGGCATTTTGAACCCTTCAAGGGAAACCATTTTTTTTTTTTCTAATAGAAAAACAGAGCATAATATACTAAAGAAAGTTTTGGAAATTCCTACAGTCAAGAATAAAAGTAGAAACCATACAGTCTTAGAAGACTCTCTCGGGTGTTCAAAATATCTTTTAAATTTTATATCAGGAGCTACAGGTTAATCAGCTATGCATAAAGGAGCATTATTCTTTTAAGGTCTCCTAAGGCAAAAGTTGAAAGCTATTATGTACATAGAAGCTACATGTATATAAGTACTAAAAGAGACCAGATAAGAACTGTAGGACTTGAGGAGTATATGACTGTTGAAAAAAAATGAAAGTATGTGTGTATCTAAAGAGTAAAACTTCAATTTGGGTCCAGCTGTCTTGCCCACAGGAGGTTATATATGGGCATACAAGTAGACTTCCAGTCAAAGTATAAAATATGAATTTAGTCAGGTGTGATGGCAAAGGTCTGCAGTGACAGTACTTAGAAGGCTGAGTCAGTAGATCATCACAAATTTGAGGTTAACCTGGGCTACACAGTGAGTTCAAGGTCAGCCTGAATGACAGCAAAATGTCCTCTCAAAAGTTTTTTTAAAAAATCAAAGCAAACCCAAAACAAAGCAAAAAAATAGATTTATACATAGTCTTGGTAACTAATTCAACTTTTAAAAATACACAAAAGCACCGAACAAAACTGCAAGCTCAATAAGGCCTGTTATCATCTGACACACAACTTTCTTTGAAATGTGCTACTGGCTCTCTTTTGCTTATCCCCTCTTTGTTTCCTTTGTGTTTGGAGCAATCAAATACTTAAAAGAAGGAGGTCCATGCTCTTATATTGTACGGCAACAAGTCAAAGATATCAAAGATCATTATCTTAGACAGCAGACAGCTTTAGTTCCATGTACAGCTCTGAGAGGAAGAGCAGGTAGTGGTTACTACTAGTAACAAAAAAAGATGGATGAGTCCCTGCGGCTACCGCCCAGAAAAAAAATACAGTGAGCTACACATGACAATAAATCAATTAGTCATCAATTTCTTATAGTGCAATGTTGAGTTCTGAAATAAAAAATGACAAATGTCTTCTAAGACTATTGTATTACAATAAAAAGTATGTATAATTAACATTATATATCCAAAGGCACAAATTAATAATAAAAAATGCCTACATTACAGATGAATTCATTAAATTATTAGGTCTTTTTAAATTGTACAACTTTGGAAATAGAAAAAAATGTCATAGTTATGATTTATTATTCACAGAATTAGTTTATAAATGTCTTCTGAGTTCATGTTGCTAGACTTCCATGATACTAAGTAAGAAAATTATTTCTGGAGTATACATAGGAGAATATATACTGACTTTAAAACCTTATACCAAATAACTGCTTGGTTCTTGAGATATTTATTTTATTTTAGGAAGCAGTACACATACACAGAGTAAATTATTCAGAACAAAATTTTGCTCCAAATCCTGAATATGGTTTTAAGTAAAAGGTTTTATTTATTTATTTTTTTGTCTTTTTCATTTTTATCGGTACCAGGGATCAAACTCACGACTGCCTGCTTGCAAGGCAGGCGCTTATGCCGCTGAGCTAAATCCCCAGTCTCAAGGTTTTATTTTTAAAAAAGAAAAATGATGTATGGAATACTATGAGAAAAGAGACTAAAAAAATTTTTAAAACGTATCTTATACTTACAGTCCATAGGAAGAATTGACTGCCAGGCTAGTTATTTGTTGTGGTGGTTCCCCACCCACCCATACCAACTGAATAACTAGTTCCGTCTGATAACCTGGTGATTGTTTAAGTGGTGAACTTTTAACTCTGAAAAAAAAGGGGGGGGAAACATTTTACTTTTTGGATCCATTTTAATTAACTCGTTACTCTAGATAATTAGTTATATATAAATAATTATATATAAAATTAGATTTCTTTAAATATAAGTATCAGAACCCTTTTGATTGATGAAAAGTACTAAATATTGCTACTTTAAAACATATGCAAAAACAAGATAGTAGGAAACTACTAATTAAGAATTTATAAGTATAAATGTATTTATTGAAGATGGTATATATAATAAGAGTGAAAAATAAATATAGCAAAATAGAATAGGGCCAGACTTCAGAAGGTTTTGAGGTGGAAAGGTTTCCTAATGGTACAAAAAACTCTAGGCTTTTGGAACGCTAGAATTTGAGGCCTTTTACTTACCAGCTGCTTCTGTCAAAAGTAGCAACACTACTACTGAATCATAGTCTTAGGAAACTGTGTATACCTATCGATGTGCATTTTAGATGGCCACATTATATAAAAGAACACATTTTCACTATTAAATAAAAGCAATGCTTACAAGAAATACTTGGAGAAGATTAATTTGGTGAACATATGCAAGATAAAGTAGAATAAAATGACCAATAAGGAAGCTTTCATTACTTTTCTGTTGTGAAATAATTTCTTAAAAGTAGATAAGAAAAACATGAAGAATTGAAAAGGCTTTCAGTAAAGGTGAAACCTTACATCTACTTTTAATACTCAATAAATGAATGAACTGGAAGCTGAGAGGGTAAGTTGGTAGCCTGGTGAGATAGGAGAGAAAAAGAAGCCAAATTGATTCTATGGTCAAATATAAATAAGTTAATTAATTAACTAGAAGTCAAAATGAAGAGGTGGTTTTAGGGACCATGTGGAAAGTTTGAGGTACAGGCAGGGAATTAGAAATGTAATAACTAAGCGCGTCATTAAATGTATTTCCAAACCACACAAATGACGAATAATGTATTTCCAAACCACACAAATGATGAATAATAAGTTCATGCCAAACTTATCTTGATTAAACCTTAGAGAAACAGAAAAAAAACAGGGTCTTGCTATGCAGTTTGGGCTGGTTGTAAGCTCACTTTGTAGCCAGACTGGTCTCAAATTTGCAAGATCCTCTGGCCTCAGTCTCCCAAGCACAGGAATCACAAGAATTTGATAAGAGATGTTTTGAGGAATGCTTAGATAAAACACCTATCAAACTCAAGTGGTATTGAAAAAACATTTTTAGGCTTGTGAACAATTTATTTTTTGTGTGACTAATTTTAATATAATTACTGTGACTAAAAATTCGAAGTAGTTTTGATTGCACAAACTCTTTCCTATAGATACTGTGGCAAAACATACAGAAAGCCTGGTATTCTAGCAATTCTGTCTGGAGTGACAGTGTGTAAAGACAAGAACCTCAGTTTTGAATCTCCTGACACCAAAAGCAGAGGTTAACAATGCTTCTGAATGACTTTAGTGAATACTTCTGGGTTAAGAAAGACAATAACACCACAATTTCTGAGGACATGTTTATTAGGCATTGTAAGTATCCAGACGTCAGGGAAATATAGTCACTGCTGGTTGCACACAGTTTACAGGCAATGCATCCAGAACTGTGCACTGGCTAATTCTGAAGGATCTGAATTTCTGATTTTTTTTCAGGCAGACATTAACTGTGAGATATAGCTGTCAATTTCAAGACAAAAATAACAACTGAGCCATTTCATCTCTACCAGGTCATAGTCTTGACATAGACACAGGTCGAAGAGTCAGAATGCACTGTTTTCTCCTTGAATGGACTGGGCACAGAAGGTAATCTTCAAGAAAATGCTTCCATCTTTGGCATAGGAAATGTGCGTATCAGATGAGACTCTCAAGAACAAGAATAGGTTGTGAGAGTCAATTTTTAAAGTTTATATACCGTCACATCTAAGGCATATGTGATCAGAACACATGCAACTCAGTTTTTTATTTTAGTAAAAGAAAAACATTCTTAAGGGGTGGGGAGAAAGCCTACTAAAATGATACAAAATACTCAAGAAAAAGAAATTTAAAATCTGATCAAGAAATCATAGAAGGGCCAGGGACTAACTCAGCAGCCCAATGTCTATAGTGGTTCATTTGTAAGTTATCATTTTAATGCTTTTTAATATACTTATGTTAATTTTGTTTACATTTTAAAGGCAAGCTATAAAACCTTTAAAAAGAAAGTCACATAAATTACACAAAAATATTTAAATGTTAAAGGATGTTTAGAGCCTCACAATGTCACAATGAGACTGTCTGGACAAGTAATTTGCAAAGTGACAAAACATTTAAATAAAAATGCAAAATTTCATTGGTTAAAGAAACAAATCAAATAGATTATTTTAAAAGTTTCTTCAAAAAAATCAATTATGTACACAGACATTTCTTATGATAAAAATCTTAATACAGTATTACTTATATTTAAACACATCGATTTTGTTGTATTTCTTACTGTTAGAAATTTGTTTTGGGACTTCTAAACTAAAACGATGTAAAGTTAATAAATACCTGCATTTACCTGAAAACTATTAGGAGAGAAGAATGTATAACTCAAATTGTTTATGATTAAAAGAATTGTCACTAATGAATACAATAAAAATTCCTGACTTATAAATAAGTTCTGTTCTGGGAAAACATTTCTAAGTCAGATTCGTTTGTAATAAGCCAAAGTGAGTCTTATATGGCACACCTGTGAAAGTTCAAAATGTGAATATTCATAATTTGAGGACTTACTGTATAGGTATGTTAGAGAAATACCTCAAAAAATGTGTACCTTATATCTTTCACCATTGATAAAAAATTCTACTGAGACTATCTTTCTGTAATATATCCCTGAATATAAATTAGAGGCTTTCCTCTAAATCTTGGTCCTTTAGTAAACTAGGTAATACTAGAGAATTATCCATCTACCAACAGATTTGAAGAAAATGTTAAATACCCAAAGATATTTTTAGTGACCATCTAAAATCACTTAATGTTATAAAGGAGATAGATACGTAAAGAGAATTATGATGCAATACATGTGTCTATGATCATCCCATACATTTTTGCTCTAGAATTCTGCTATTCTACTGAAGCACAACATAAAGAGCCTTAAGTATAACAGTATAGTCCTTAGTTTATGATATGCTTTATCAAGACTTATTTATACTGCTATTCTAAAACCTGTTTTTAAAACTTTGTAAGAAATTTAAAGTTTTACATTTATGGCTTTATATACAAATATATAATATCACATATTAAAATCAATGAGAATTTCTATTTATTCACTATCAAAACAAAAATAACCCAGACATTTGAAGCTTGCTCTCACGTGCTCTCTCTCTCTCTCTCTCTCTCTCTCTCTCTCTCTCTCTCACACACACACACACACACACACACACACACACACACACACACACAGAGTCCAATTAGCATGCATGCTTCACATCTCCTCGTATCTCTTTGAATGTCCACAGAACTTCTGGTCCCCCCTGTATACTCTGTAACTTTACTACGAGTAAGACAAGAAAAGAAGAGGAGAATTACTGAGGCCTGCCGCTTTTCCCCTTAGGCTATATCCATTCAGGGTAAGTCTGCCCACGTTCTTCTCTGGCCTCACAAAGAGAGTGTGCTTAATGCTTAATGCAGGCCAGTCAGTGTCAGGAAGCCTACCTGGCTATTGTGCTAGTTGACATCACTAGTCCCTATCAACAAATTAGATGATATTTTATTGATTACCTGGAATTACTTCTTAATGTGGTAAAAAATACAGACAGGAAAAGAATACTATACTTGCTTGGCTACCTTGTATTGTAGACCTGAATGAGAAATTTTGTGTGAATAGATGCTGGCTGACTGTCATATGTGTTCTTACTGTTCTAACTGCTTAAAGTTCCATACATCTCACAAAAGCCAGTAATAAGACAGTTTACCTATAATCTGATAGTAAATCCATTTTCAAAAAGAACTGTCAGTTAAAACATTAATGCTGTCATAATATATTTACAGAACTGAATTATATATGTGCTAGTAAATAATTGCAACAGTACAAAAATTATAAGTAACTCATAACTGAGAGACATGACTATATATCACTTAAGGTATGAGCTCAAAAATCTAAAGACAAATGTAATGTTATATTTTATTATTCATCTAGTAGTTTTACTATTAGTGGATTGTTTTTTATTTTGTTTGTTTTGTTTTGTTTTTTGGCACTGGGAATTAAACTCAGAACCTTCCACTTGGCTGCCAGGTACTCTGTCACTGAGCTATATCCCTGACACTATTAGTGATACTTTTAAAACTGTAATTCTGAACTTACTTTTTAATAGGTAAGTAAAAAGAACAACTGCAAGTTAATCCATGGAGAATAATGGTTTGGGGAAATCAAATAGTTACATTTAATGAAAAATGTGAGGGCTTTAATTACTTTTTTAAAATACTTTTTTCTAGTGTTTGTCACTGAATAGTCTTCTATAGTAGCACTTATTAAAAACAAAGCTAGACACATTTCTACAAATCATATTTTGGTCTCTTAGTCTTCTCCATGAAAAGAAGCCATAGTTTTCTGAAGAAGGTGATGCTATGTGCAAAGGCAGGAGTTCAAACTATGAACAGAATATGGTCAGAACAGAAACCAGGATGGTAATGCAGGTGCTGAGTGATGTTGAGGACTCAGACATATCCCAAAAGCTCCCTCTAAGAAGCTGTGACAAAATCATTGTTAAATTAACCAAATTCAATCCATTAAAACAAAAAGCCCTAGAAGTTCATGATAATATTCCAAAGGAGGGAAAAGAATATTATCAACAAATCATAGTTATATTAATATTTTTAGTAGTAAGGAGAAATTTTTTTATATTTAATTGTGCATATATTTCCAGGAGAGACAATGCACATCAACACACAAGACTTAGCAATTAATAATAATAAAAAGACTTTCTTCCCATAACATATTAATGGACTGGTTAATATGACTTTCTATGTATTTATCAACATACTTTGTCACTTCCAAATGTCCCTGCTTAAAAGGTGTTCCTACATTAAGTGGCAGTTTGTTAAATACAGATTAATAGTTTATTAACACACTGGACAGTTATGTAAGTTCCTCTAAAACAATAAAGATGGCCATACCATGATTTCAGGCCATGAACAGTAGTAAAAATTACCAATTCTAGAATTAAGTTGATATGCAAGTCAAACATGCTTAACTTGTTCTTCCATTGCTGCCTTAATTGGTTCTTTCAGTCAGTAAAAGTACTTGAAAAAAGGACTTTCTGAGAGCAGTGGACAAAAACTTACCTATTAAGCCTGCCTTTAACATACACCTAGAAATCTAGAGATCTGACCATACTGCTTTAATTTCTTGTCAGTTCTAGTCCTCTGACTTTTCTCATCATGAAGAAATGTAGTGGTGCTTATTCTTCAGGTAAGAAAATGACCAAATATTTCAGACTGTTGTATCTATAGCCAAAAGTCCACAAACATTTGGAGGCCATTATGATTGGATCTTAAGTGACCTCTCCCCAAAGCTCATGTGTTGTTCCCCAGTTAACTGTGCTCCTAGGAGGTAGTGGAAACTTTAGGAAGTGAAAGAAACTGGGTTTCTGGGGTCAAGTCCTTTAAGAGGATACTAGAATCCCAGTCCCTTCTCCTTTTGCTGATGAGGTGAACAGTTTTGCTCTACATGTGCTCCTTGTTATTATGTTTTACCTTGCGACTGGCCCCAAACAAGGCCCAAGCAAGCATGGAATAAAATCTCTGAAACTGTGAGCCAAATACATCTTGACTGCTTACTTGGTGATTATCTTTAGCTATCTTGCCACAGTGATGGAAGAGCTGATTAGCAGAAGTGTAAGATATTATCAAATACAGAGTATCCTAATTTTTGGAAGATAATACATGTTGTTACGGAATTGCTATTTTGTTAAGAATACTTCAGGAGGTCTGGGGAGATAAGTGGCACAAGCATTTGCCTGGCAAGTGCAAGGTTTGATTCCTAGTACCCAAAACAAAACAAAACAAACAATAAAATAATCACTTTAGTAACTGACAAAATGGCTAAAAATATAGAAATGTGTAAAAGTCACTAAAAACACAAGCTGCACTTTATATGCTCATAAAAATTAAATTTGACAAAGAGCTAAGAAAAAAATCCATAAAAATCTGAAAGTCTTAAAAGAACTTTTACAATTTTAAATTTAAGGCAATACTGAATAATTTACAAAATGCAAAAAACTGTAATATTCTGTTTTCCAAGTCTCATTCCAGTGTAGCCAGAACTGCACTGTAGCTGAAAGGAGTTATGTATGTGCCTATATGCGTGAGAGCAAAAGTGAACTTACAAAAACAAAGAGAGGGCCGGGATATAGGTCAGCAGCCCAGTACCTGCCTGGCAAGTGCAAAGCCTTAGTCTGATTTTCAGTATTAAAAAAAAAAAAAGAAAGGGAAAATTGAGACTACTTGACATTTTGAGTTGGATGATTTTTTGTTGTGTACATTTTAAGAGATTTTAACAGCACCCCTGGCCTCTTTCCATTGAACATTAGTAGCATCATCCCTTTTCTTTGCTGACAACTACACATATCTCTAGAATTGTCCAAATATCCCCTGTGGGGCAAAATCATCCACATTTGAGAACCACTGGCTCAAAATATGATTTACAAATTTTTATGAATACAAATAATTTTTATAAAATGTATACTCTAAAAATTATTATGAATTTTAAAAATGTATCTGCTTTATCTTAGAGAAAGTGCCATCCTGATACTCTTCGTGGCAACTGTTAAACTATCTACCAAAATGAGAAAGTCCAGCAAATCTAAAACAAAACAGTGCAAAGCGTAATGCACTTCTCCACTTTGAATTTGTTATAGTCCGGCTTTTGTCCCCACCATTCTCCTGAATCTCCTGACCTTTTCCAAAACTGCCTTTCAATCATCACCTTAATTGATTTCTCTTAAATGTACTATTTTTAATTAAACTGTGTTCAAGTAATTGTTCAATGATTTTAAATCTTTATTTATTGCATTATTTCTCTACCAATAACCTTTTGAGTAATTTAATCACTCAAAAAAACGTAAACTGGAGAGAAAAAAATTTATGAAATTTTTCTCCTATAAAACAAGATAATATTTGTCACAGGGATGCTACAAAATAAAGGCTTTTAAATAAAGATATAGAGGGCTAGAAAGTAAGGAGATTTTTCTCAAAACGGAAAAGAATCAAGAGATGGAGGGATGCAAGGTTTGAGAAAAGGGCAAAGGAGTGAAAAAAAGAATTAAGATGCATTATGTAAATGCACCAACTCCAGACTAGGAATATAAGCATTATGTACTATAAACATACACTAATAAAATTTTTAAAAAGATAATGCAAAATAAAGTCAATGTAAAGACTTTAAAAACGATACTTTCAGAATGGTACAAAGTATTCTGAATATGAAGCTAATCTACATATAAATCCAGATTAAAAGCACTGATGGGTTTAGAATACTGAATGACATATACTACTTACATTTGGAGATCAGGTGTTAGTATTTTAAGGATAACCTTATGGAATGTAACTATTCCCTTTCATGCCATTAAAAAATGCCTTTAATGTAAAATATTATTGATGCCTGCAATTTATTTAAAGGGTAACAATTGTAACTTTTCTTGTTATAACTTACTTTAAGCAAGGTACATTATCACGAAGCCCATCAGATGAACTGCTACTGGTAGAAGGATGAGACTGAGGAGGAATGGTCTGAGGATTGGATCCTCCTACAGGTGTTGACAAAGGTGGTGGCTGCTCACTCTCTGGAGATTCCACATCATTTATCTCATGTAACAGTCGAACTTCAAGCATCTGTTGAAAAAGTTTACTAACTCTTTAAACCACCAATCATTTTATTATACTTTACATACAAATGCAACATAAATTTTTAAACTTAAAAATTGAACAAAATTTCCAAAGGCAAAGGAGAAATTTTTCTGACTAGATTTTTTATAAGCGTGTGTATGAGGTTAGTGCACACAAAATACACATACCTCATGATATTTCCAACTTGTGGTGCTCCAAAATTAAGAATGTACTCATATTCCTATTAGCTTTGCTTAAATAAAACTTACAATGTACTTAAGGATTTACATAATCAGTTAAAAGACATACCAATAAATGTTATTTTTCACAAAACAGAGATAGAAATTTAAATACTGAGGTGTTTTCAAAATTCATATACAAAATTGATTACAAATAGTATTCTATATAAAACGCAAATTGAAAATAATTGGAACTTGACACTGAAAATAAGAGATCATTACCGGAATGACTTCTGTAACTACTTCCTGTTTGCTGAATCTATAAATAATGACATGTGCTGAAACTCCAGCTATACACAACATTCTACTTTCTGGACACCAGGAAATGATCTGAATAGCATATGGATCTTCATCCACAATATCGGTGTTTGGTTTGTCTTCTTTATTTCTTGACTTTTCAAAAACTTTAGATGTTTTTAATTTATATAATACTTGTAGAGTTACTAAAAAAAGATTATATATATTAGACATTTTCGTACAAAATACTCAAATATGTTTAATCAGCATATTGTGTTAGGAAAATATCCCATATTTACCTAAACTGTACTTTCATTTCTCAGTCTACATTAAAGTAATTTATTGTACATTAAGATAATGTATGTAATTTGCTTATTGGCCAAAAAACCATGCATTCATTGTATTCATTAAAAAAAATAAATCCACCATGATGATGGAAAAAATGAATAACAAAAGATTTGGGGAAAAAATGTATAAATATACCAAAAATAATAGAGGCCATATTTTGTTCCTAGAGTGATTTTCTACATATTTTCTCTAAAAATAATACCAGTGTTATCAGAAAGTCCTACATGACGAAACAGTATATTAACTGAATTCCCACTAAAGCTTGTTATGTATGTTCTGCAAACATTAATCTTTTTTTTTTTTTTTTTTTTTTATTTAATAGGAAAAAGAGAAAAACACAAAACAAACCAAAGCGGCGTAAGGGTACACGCAATACAGAACTACAAAACAAAACAAAACAAAACAAAACAAAAAAACATAACAGTAAGAAATCACCTGCTAGTAGATTACACACTATCTTCTTGAAAATAGTTCCTCAGCAAACATTAATCTTAAGGCATCTCTTTTCTGTGACTATGTAACCATCAGGTATGACATGACAAACTTTTACAAGTTTAGAAACAGGTATTAAAATTACTTTAGAACTTTCTGTTGATTTGGAATACACTCCCACTTTTCATTGAGTTAAAAAGAGATTTAAAGCTATTTTGAAGGAAGAACTGGAATATTGCTGCTATGAACTATTCCTGATACACTAATATTACTAAAAATATTTTACTCAAAAACTAAAGACATGTATGTACTTCATAAGTCAGTAAATTAAATTTACAGCCTATAAATTTCAAATTAAATGTTGATTCTGTAAGTACTATAAAACAAGACATGTAAAAGCTATTAAGCTCAATATATAACAAACAATAAATACTCAAATTACTTACTCGCTGAAGCATCCCAGAACTTAACTGAACCATCAGCATGTCTACACAAAGCAAAGGAGTTAAGAATGTGATGAAGAAAAAAAGTCACTTTCTTTTCTTCTTTAAATATATACTGTTATTTTTAAGGTAGCACCAAACTGAGAAAAAGGTAAAAATCGGAGTAAACTGGTAGGTTCTTTTTTTTTTTTGTTTTTTGCCTTTTTCCTTTTTATTGGTACCAGGGATCGAACTCACGACTGCCTGCTTGCAAGGCGCTGAGGTAAATCCCCAGCCCCTTAAACTGGTAAGTTCTTTATAATAACTTACTTCTTGTACTGTAACATGAAGAAAAGCTCTACTATCCCAATAAGTAAAAAATACTGTAGTCTGAACTATATTTAGATATTAATGACTTACTCAGGGAAAAGAAACTTTTACTTACCCTGTAATAATTATTTCTGGGTAACTTTGAGCACCCAGGCCCCAATTACCTCCATTGATGGGCCATTCCTATAAGAAAAGATCACTGTATAAGGCAACTTGCAAGCATATTGTAAATTTTTACATACATATAATCTATATATATTATGTATAATACACATATGGAAACAGTATCCAATGTATTTTGCTTCCCAAAATACATTCTTTTATATACTTTCTATAGAAAAGGTATCAATGTTATTAAACATCCCAAGGGAATAAATTCAAATTATGAAAATATTTAAATAACAAGACTCATGTTCAATACCTTTTTGCTGTAACCTTGACGTTTCTGTCTTGCTCCAACAGAATAAAGTGCAGGAATAAGGTCCACAGGACAATCAGCGAAATATTCGCAACATGTAACAGGGGACTCATGTATATTCAAAGGATAAGGATTTTCAAATATAGGATATCTTTAACACAGGAAACAAAAACATTTATTAATTTAATGAATTAAAACCTATAATTAACACACAATGAAAAAATTTAAAAATATACACCTACCACATATATTGATTTATGTATATACATTAAAATTGAGGTATTTTATAATAAAAGATGCTAAATTATAACAACAAAGGCTGTGGTTGCAACTGTATACAATGTGCTACCCTAGACTAAGTGATATATTTCATTTACTTCTTGCCCCAGAGTTATGATGCAGACATTACCTTGAAGAACAAAAGCAAAGAGTAATGTGTGGAAGGCATGTCTGCTAGGAAGCAGTTGAAGCAAAATTTAAACTGTGCTCATAATTATTAAGTTACATAATTTCAGTAATGGGAATTGCATCTTTCACCAACATCAACATAAAATTTCAATTCTTTTTCTCTCCATCAAAGTATTATCTAGTCCAACATTCAGTCCAGAATGCCACCTTGCTTCAGTGATAATCCAAAATATAATTCTATCTTAGTTATGAAATTATTTTAATAAAGTAAAATCCTTTTAAAATCATGAAATTAAAGTTTCATACACATAATAACATGATAATACTTGCTTTAAAATGTCTATAAAGCCAGAAATCTGTTAAAATGCCTAAGAAAGTACAAAGCTGCTAACCTGTAAATATTAAATGTATTGATCAGGAAAGAAATTTCAGAAAAGTCCTCTATAGACTGCAAAATCAACCCAATTACTTCCATCCTTAGCCAGTGTTATGTGATACACTATGTCAACTTGAAAAATTGAGAAGATATAACTAAGAGACTCAGCAGGGAACCAGAGTTCTTTGTAAATAAACATCCTGAACCTGTCTAAGACTGGCCCAAGGAGATTTTCTGAGTGCTACACTGGCTTTGAAAGGGGGTCGCCTGTGCACAATGTAAGGGAGGATAAGAGGCTTGCTCTTCCCCCTACAAGCTCTGGCTGCTTTTGCCAGCTGCTGCCTTAAACTGTTGCCCTAGTGCTATGCCACCCTGCTTTGGAGCAAGCTGATTATGGACTGAAATTTCCACAAACAGTGAGCTAAATAAATCTTTCCTGCCTGCATTTGGCATATTCAGCATTTTGTCCCAGGAGGAGAGAAAAGTAACCAAGACAGACACAAAACAGACAAAATACAAGTAAGTAAAACTGCAATAATAAAGTGTGTAACAACTCTCTTTATAACACAGGACTTTCCTTAGTTCAATGATTCTAACTATACATATAATCGGAAGGATAACAGAGCTAATGATGCACGTAAAATTAATATGACAATGACTGACAATGACGTGTGAAACATATTGCAAAAGAGAGTAAACAGACACAGATGAATAGCTTATTTAGAGGTAAATTATGATAGGATCAATTTTGGACATACTGATTTTGTGTGGCCTTTGGGTACAGAAGCATAAAGTTGAAATAAGAAATGTCAGACATTAAACTAATTTTGAACTAAAAACTGAAAATAGTACGAAATTCAACACAATAGAACATTTTAACATAATTAAAATGGTGAGTTGAGCTTTAAAATGAAATCAAGATTATGGATATAAATGTAGACTTCTCAAAGAAATGAAGTAACCCTATAATAAAGATACGTGTTTTTTACCACATACAGAAGACATTCTTACCCATTTTGTGCAAGATCTATAAGTACTAAATCCTTTTCTAGAAGAACCACCACAGCATATGGTTCTTGAAAATCTAAAATAGGAAAACAATGTGAGAACAGTAATCTTAAATGTGCAAGAGGACACCAAATTAAGAGAATGAACCTTTATTTGTTTTCCATTTCATTTTGTTAACATTGTGATCTTGTGATATTTTAGATAAATTTAAAGCTTATAGTTTACATGAGATAAATTTACTTAATTCACACAAAATTCTAGCACTTTTGTAAAGATGAGTAGGGTAAGAAACTTACAGTAACATCTATATAAATTCCAAAGGTGAACATGGACAACAAAACGAAAACTTGAACAGTACGATTACCTTTATTCAATGTCAGACTAACTCAATAGAGTTCTTCTATAATGCTGTATCTTTCTTAAATGTTTTATGTATGCTTATTAACATTTATAGCATGAAACTCTACACCTATATACCTCAAATAGTTTTCAAGTGAAGTAAAACAGATACACATTTAAATTCCTCTTAAATCACATATTCAAGCTGTGATGGTAAATTCTGTGTCCATGCTATCGTATGCTCAGCTATCTGATCAAACACCAGTCTCCATGTACTGTGTGGCTGTTTTTGTTTGTTTTTTGTTTTTGATATTACTAACCTTTAAACCAGTAAACTCTGAATAAAGCACATTATCCTCTGAATGGGTAGGCTTCATCTTATCAGATGAAGGCCTTAGAGGCGCAGACTGAGGTTTATTGTTAAAAAAAAAAAAGGCAACAATTTCACCTCAAGATTTAAAAACTGAAATCCTAAACCAGGTGTGGTGGTGCTTGCCTGCAATCCCAGCACTAAGGAGGATGAGACAGGAGGATCACTATGAGATTGTGGCCAGCCTGAGCTATGTAAGTGAGTTTAAGGGCAACATGCACTATATGGTGAGACTCTTATCTCCAAAAAATTGAAATCCTTCCTGAGATTCCAACCTGCAGATTTTGAATCCAAGATTTCAATTCTTTCTATTGAAGAATTGGTCTGCTCTGACGATTTCAGACTTGCCAGCATCATGATTCCTTCAAATGTATATACAGAGGAACACACAGATAAAGCTATGTAGAAATATGTATCTACCATATTTTCCTGAAAATAATACCTTACTGGAAAGTAAGTCTTGCATGATTTTTCAGGACATAATATAAGCCTACTCCAAAAATAAGTTAAGACTGTCTGCCAGACAAACACATTAAGTATGTCCTTTGCAACACATGCTAGACAATGAATACTAAAATAATATTAATATACAATTACATGTAAACAAATATTATTGACATTAATACTTAAATGATAATGTAAAATCTAACTAAATTTGTAACTACCCATGCAGGAGCCTCTGGACAAAAGGCAAATGCATATGTGAAAAGATAAACAGGAGACTTACTGCTGCATGACTAAATGAAGTAAAGACACAACACACAAATAGTATGTGCCTTGATAACAAATGAATATAGTTGTATCTAATTAGTCTTTGTAATTCAATATATCATTCATGATAATGCTGCACAAGCAGGCTATGTGGACAATAAGTTCTCATTTAAGGAGTGCTCTATTGCTGGTCATGAGAGATTCTGGCCAGCAGTTCTACAGGAAATAGAATACTAAGAAATTGAGGCTGCATACTGGGATTTGGAGAGTTATGACGATGTTCCAGAAGATGATGGCATGACTGTAATTTAAATAAATGTAAGTTTCTGTACATGAATAAATATAGATGGTTGTACATGAATAAATATACAGTATATTGATGGACATAAAAAATAAGAGATCCCTAGAAAATAAGCCTATTGCGTCTTTTTCAGCACAATTTAATATAAGACTGAGTTTCATTTTGAGAGAAGTATGGTATGTATCTCCTATTGGTTCAGCTTTTCTGAAGAACACTGAGCAATTTTAGGCACTCATGTTTTACGGAATTTTTAAATGTCTATGGACGTAGACATAGTAATTATTGAGCAGATAGCTTATTAAACAGAGGAAACTTACATAATAAAACATGCAGGGTAATAAAGGTACTATCTATTTCCCAAGAGAATTAGCATGATTGGTTAAAGAAACCACTTAAGATGAAAGTCGTTATTATAAAATATTAGTATTTATGGAAAACAAGTTTTAGAGACACAAAACTTACCATTTGGGTATGGCGTTTCACACAACGTCAGAAAATCAACAATTGAATAGTCCATTTCTAGCACGGCAGTACTTTTCCCATGCATCACTGTTAAGCAAGGTCGTCTTCCTACGGTGTCATATGACAAACCTCCTGATAAAATAATAAAAGGTTCCCTGGAAATGAAACATATATTTTAGGTTACAAATAGCATAACAGAGACTATTTTCTTGCTGTGTCATAATTTATTAGTGAAATAATGAAATCTTAAATTCTAAACACTCTATATATTATAAAATTGAACACAACAGTTACATATGGAATTTTAAAATGGATTAGGTTAAGATCAAGGCAAATTCCTGAAAATTAAACCACAATAAAAATAAATATTGACCACATTTGACTCACATACCTCCTCTTGTCCCTAAAACTTTTTCTTTTATCTCCTATACAAAATTTTCACAGAATTTCCTCTACATTTCTGCTGGAACGTCTCTTCAATGTTGGCTTTTTCTTCCGGTTCTAACCAGGGATACTCAAGAAAAGTTTCCTGAGAAGATCTTAATGCCTGGAGGTATCCAGTTTGTAACAAACTGATTTCTCAAGAATATGTCAAGAATTTTATTAGCTACAAATTTCCCTTGATAACTGAAAAAATATTCAAATAATTTCCTTAATTTTCTTCTGGATCCTTGCATGTACACTTTCAAACTTTAGCTTTTCCCACACATTCCATCAGCTGTGAACTTGCCACTTTTAATCAGTCCTATAACTAATTTTTTCATCCTCTTTATCAGCCAATATTAAAACAAGATGATTTATCTAAACTCATTTTTTAAAAAGCTATATGCTGAGTATCTTTCACATATTATAGTCAGTATATTTCTTGTATTTGACTTGATCTGTCAATACTGAAGTTACTTACAGATCATACACATGATTTAAATTTTTCTATGTATGTTTTCTTAAATCTGTTTCATATATGATTTCTTAATTTTTTAATGATTACACTCAGGCCACTGTACCTATCTTTCCTCTCACCTACTGTTCATGTGATCCCTTTCTTTTCCACTATGTAGTAATATCCGATAGTTAAAACTGGTGGTTCTGAACTAAATCAGACATTTAAATCTCAGCTCAGGCTTTACTTTCTGTGGAATCTTGAATAAGTTGCTTAACCTCTCTATGTCTAGTTCCCACATGCATTAAATGGAGATAGGGAGATTAAGTCTCTTACTTAAGAAAATTCATAAATTAGTGCCTGGGCTCACATTACACTCTTGTACAAGTTGCCTATTATTATTGTCATATCATCCTATCGTCATAATCAACCACTGTGAAAATTTTATTTCATAAACCATGACGGAAAAAAATTCTTTGTATAAAATAAAATTCTTTATCCATTCATCGGTTAATGGGTATTTGGGCTGTTTCCAAGATTTAGCTATTACAAACTGTGCTGCTATAAAAATGGGTGTGCATATATCACTGTAGTATGATCCTTTTAATTCTTTTGAGAAAACAGGAATAGCTGGATTGAGTGGAACCTCTAGTCCTAGATTTTTGAGAGATCTCCACACTGGTTTTCACAGTGCTTGCACTAGTCTACTCTGCCATAAAAAAGGATAAGCTTTAGATAAATGTATGTGATCACACTCTTAAATGAAATAAATAGGACACACGTGTGTAAATACCATATTGGTTCTCTGATGTGAAAAACTTAAAAGTGTAAATAAGGAATAAAATGTATAACAGATGTTGTGAAATGGGAAGAAAATGTTCAAACTCACAGGGGAACTAGTGAGACAGGGAAAGGAAGGGAAAAGAAAAAAATGAGAAAAGAAGGATAAAATGGAAACAGATTTTGTAAATAAGGAGTCAAAGAGGGATTGAAGAAAGAGTAAGCAAATGAGAAAATCAAGTTATACCATGTACAGATACAAACTCCATTGATGAATATGATCATTATGTATACCCAAACGTATCTGTAAACCTAATTAATAAAAATAGAAATTAATAAATAAATAAAACTTGTAACCTACGTGTGGTGGGACACACCTATGATCCCAGAATTTGGAACAGTGAGGAAGACTAGAGCTACATAGCTAAGTTAAAAGCTAGGTTCTATTACATAAGAAGATCTTGTCTCAAAATTACCAAAAACAAAACTTCCAGTTTATTTTTATCTAAAACAAGACTAAACTTCATTAATCAGAAATTAATGTTAAATTGTAACAGTATATACTTAAAAGCAAATAACTGACTTGCGTTTAATATTTAAACATCTCACCTATTTAAAATACATAAAATAGCCAGGTATGACACATACCCGTAATACCAGCACACAGGAGGCTGATGCAGGAGTTCCAGGCCAGTCTGGGCTACATAATAAATTCAAGGCTAGACTGAACCTCTTAGAGAGAGCCTGTCTTAAAAACAAAACACGATTTCCTCCACTACACCCTTCTACTACAATATTTCTGTCTTGCCACAGGTATAAAATCAATTCCGTACAACCAGCTGACCATGGACTGAAGGCTCTGAAACCAGAAAATAAAATAAACATTTCCTCCTTCAAATTGATTTCTCAGATATTTTGCTACAGCCACAAAAAAATAACATAATTCTCTCTTCTGTGACTTGAAATACAATCGGATATAAATATCATGAAAAGGGGTGAAAAGCCCAACAGGAAACTAATATTTAAAACTTTTTAGAAAGTACACTACCTGGGGGTCAGTTATTTTGTACGCAATATTTCATGAATGGTTGACAAATGTTTTTATTTATATACAAGTTAGAAATATGTTCTGTTCTGAACTATGAACAGAGAATTAACAGCTGAGTTTATAGAATAAAATATGCAAAAAGCACCTATGGAGATGAAATTGGGGAGGTAGTTCTGCATATTCACAACACTGGCAATTAGGAAGCTTTATCCTCAGAAGGTAAATAATTTTTTGGACTGCTGACTTTGTAAACTGTATTTATTTTCCCAACTTGGAGAAAAGTGTTATGGAAAGATATGTTGAAAGGAATAATTATTAAACTGACACCAAAGTACTTGCTTTTTTATAATGTATGCCAAATCCAACACTAAATATCCTTAATAAAAACACCCTTTCATGAGCTGTTTCTTTGAAACTGACTGCCAGTCCACAATCACTCAATCTATGAATTCTCTTAAACTGTATTTTTTTATTATAGTGATCTAAAAACTTGAAATATAAACAGTAATGGAATCTTTTATGAAATAAAATTAGTTATAAATACAATAATGAAAATTTTTTTTGTCTTTTGTTTTTTTTACCGGTACCAGGGATTGAACTCATGACTGCCTGCTTGCAAGGCAGGCGCTTATGCCGCTGAGCTAAATCCCCAGACCCTATAATGAAATATTTTAACTGCACAACAAAATTTATAGAACTCCCTTTTTTTGGCATTTGGAATTTTATTAAAATTTTAAGGATCTAGACTATTTCTATGTAATATATGAATCATAAGCTGGGGAATATTTCATTTTCTTTTCTTAAATTTAAAGGTAAGCCTTTTTGATACTGTAAGGTCTACAGGCAATGCAATCTTATCCTATTATTGTAAGAGTTTTAGCAGAATCTCTTTTAATATTTCGTTAAACATAACCTTTATTCTGTAAGACATTCACATTAGAAAGGCATCAGTGTTATAATTTGAAAGTGTTATACTTTGACTAGACTTTTCATGAGACTACTTGTGAGTAACCTCCTCAGGATGACGGTGGAACTGCTCTGCCTGAAGCTATGTTTTTATATATGAAGCCTTGCCTTACTTATAGGAACCATCTCTGGGATGAACCACTGCCTAATTATGACAACTGAAGCTAGGTCATAACTTTTAGGTATCAAAAATGTAGAAGTCCAAATCATTTCCTTTTGCATAGCTCTCTTTAATAGCTATTTAGTACTCAGTAACAATGCTCAGTACGTTGTATGAACCCCTACAGATTCCCAGGACTTCTGCAAAAGGTTTGTGAGGTCAAAACCATTTTCAGTACAATATTAAGACATTGGCTTTTCCTTGTGTTAATATTTGCAGGAGGGCTCCAAAGTAAGAGTAGGTAGATAAAATTCTACCTACTGAATATCACCGTAAATTAAGGCGAAGACAATTAAACTAGTCATTATATTCTGCTTTGCCACACAATAAAGAGGTTCCCTATGCATGCATTTTAAACTGTCCTTAATAAAACAGTAAAACAACAAAGTTTAAATCTTGATCCCGACATACCTTTTTAATATTGTATTGATAAAATGACTAGTTCAATACTTATTTGTACAATAGTAATTTGTGCCGTCATTTGACTGAATCAAGTGAATTGCCCAGTATTATTTTTGCTTGAAAGAATGACTGACAGAATAACTATTATTACTTAGGCTTGGGTAATTAACTGACACTTTCTCAAGAAACATGAAGTAAGTCTGTCATTTTAAGAAAAATCACATTTGTGGTGATAAAAATCTAGGATTTTAGGCAAAAGCCAGACTTTAAAAAACTTTTATCCATCATGTTGAGCTTCACAGCTCTGCAATGGTTAAAGGATTTGCCTAATAAGATTAGTGGTGGTATTAACAACTTGAGTTAATATTTATGTTATAAAATTAAAAAGTGTGAAAGCTGGAAGATCTGAATGACTCACTGAACCACTATTTCCAATGGATAGTGCTATCATGTTCTGAAACCAGGCATGGATAAAAGACATACTAAGAATACAGAAAGACCAATGAATTTTAATGAAGCAGAATACAAAGCTTTAATAATACAGATTCAGATTCTATCTGAATCTGTAATGACTACCTTTTAATAAATTGCCACTTATCAAATTTGGTGTAATATGGAAGAATATTTTAAAATCTATTTATGTATGTGTATAAGGCTATGTTTCATTCATATACTTCAATTAAACAAACATTACAAAGTAGTTATAGAAGCAGATCTGAGAATCCAGCCATAGTCCTTTATAATTAGATGTTAAGATGATCTGCAAAATAAAAAAAACTTATTGTCTCAATATTCACTTTATTAAAGTATTATTTGTTAATGTGTAAAGGATTTTCATTTTTTTAAATTAATAAGCATGTTAAAATTCTAAGCTTTATTTGTAGTTTAGTAAGCATAAAACCCACATAAAAGTACCCTG